TGCTGAAATGAGACCCTTGTAGGGTTCCAATTTTACCGGGTAAGAAGTCACTTGCCCTGGAGAAACCCCCGTCCAAAATATCATGCGCAAGCACCTGCTGCCCCCTGGTGGACAGAGTCAAAAAGCAGCAGGAAGCCTTGGAGCCCAACCACCAATGTTGTCTTCCTCACTCCTAATAAGAAAAATATTCACACGGGGCTCCAATTTGCAAAGCACTTTCCGCTTCAGTGTCTTTCGTGAGCCTTCAAACAACCCTGCAAGGCAGGCAGGGCAGGAGTTACCCCTTCACAGATGAGGGAACAGGGCTACAGAAGGCAAGCCCATGGTGGGCTAAGAACTGAAATTTCAATCTGAGTTCTGATTGCAAAGTCCAGTTGTTCTGACCCCAAATGTCAATTTCTGGTTTTGACCATGCATAAGAATCATCTCGGGACACTGGTTAAAACCACAGAATCTCAGCCCCTAATCCCCAGGAAATCTAGGAGTGAGAGTGGGAACTGGCATTTTGGACACACTTCCCAGGGGACGCGGGTGTGGTCAGGTCCCGATACACGGACTGGCTTTGGGAAACCACGGCCTTGTTCCACGCGGCCTCAGATCTGCGCTCACACAGCCTCTGTCGTAGTCTGTTCGGGCTGCTGTAACAGAGCCCCACAGCCTGGTGGCTTACAAAGAACAGAAATTGATGAGTCGCAGTTCTGGAGGCTGAGCATCCCTGATCAGGGCACTGCAGACTCGGTGTCTGGTTCACAGACGGCCATCTTCTCGATATCACCTCACAGGGCAAGGGAGCTCTCGGGGGTCTCGTTTGTAAGGGCACTCATCCCACTTATGACAGCGCCCTCCTCATCCTCAGGATCTAGTCACCTCCCAAAGGCCCCACCTCCAAATACCATCCGATGAGGGTTAGGATTTCAACATGAATTTTGGGGCGATACCAACATCCAGTCTATGGTACCCTCCCTGTGCTCTGCCCCAGTGCTCAGGGTCTGATCTCTTCCTCTCAGCATCTGCCTCTCCCTGTACCCCCTCCCACTACTAACTAACGGCTCAGATCTCTCTAGAACTCATGCGCCATGCACGCCACATGCACTATCCACTTAGTCTCCTGACAGTCCTAACGTCAGTGCTCCCATCTTACAGATGGCACCTCTGAGCAAACCGAGGTGCACGAGTCCACACGGGGGGGTTGCAGCTGAATCAGGATGTGAACCCCGGGCTGTGATCACGGAGGCCAAGCCTTGTGGCTTTGTGCCACACTGTGCTGTCTCCCCTACAGAATGTCCCCATCCTGTGTGCCAGCCCCCTTAAAGTCCTGCTTTCTTAAAGACTTTTTGATAATGGGACAGAAACTAATTGTCACTAAAATGACAGTGACGAATTGTGGCCTGAAACATCAGCTCCCCAGGTCCGGGTCATGTCTCTCTTTTAGCTGGAAATCTCAATTCCGTCAGCTGATGGGGAAAAAGCAAAGAACTGCCCCAGACTTGAAGACATAAAGATAAGCGGCAATGCCCTCCTCCAGCGTGGGGAGCAGGGTGGAGGGAGGGGACCCCAAGGCCAGATGCCCCAGGGCCCTTCTGCTCCAGATGAAGTACGGGAGAATTATCAGTTGCCCAGAGTACCACTCGACAGAACGTGCTATGGTGATTTTTTCTCTACACTTTCCACTCTGAGAAATACTCAATCAGAAAATAAGACCATGTCAAGGGTTTAATTCTCTTTTTTTAAAAAAAGAACAGGGTCCTGTGGTCCATTAGAGATGCAGCCCATCCCTTAGATGCCCAGAACATTAGTGAGCGCCTCTGGCCTGGCCCTGTTCAAGGGGCCTCCTGGAAGCCCGAGGTTTGGGGGGGCAGGTGCAGGGGCCGGCCAGGCCCACCCGCACCTCAGCCCAGCAGTGCCACCTGACCCCTGACCCGTGTTTGTATACCTGGGTCTCACATGAGATTTTGTTTGGGGGAGATGTAAACGGTGCCATAAAAAAGAAAAGGAAAAATGGGCTCCAACCCAACTCTTCATAGAGCAAAAAGAAAACTGAGGCCTGAGAGGTAAAAGGGTCCCCCAGCTGGTGGAGCCCAGACTGCAATGAAAATCCCATCTTCTTTCTGTTCAATCAACATCCAGCACCTCCATTCAGTCTTTGGGTCACACTTGGCAGTGTTTCCTGACGGGCACCACACGCATGTGACATTCTGCCCCATGGGGCTGGTGGTCCAGCGCAGGGAGCAGACAAGTCAGATCACGGAACAAAGATGCACGCAAGTGACGCGGAGATGGAGCGCCGAGGACGGGCCATGGATCTGGCCCTACCTGAGGCCGGCAGGGGAATGTCCCACGGAAGGGGCACACGAGCCGAGCTGAGGACGAAGAAGGGGGTGGGCAGGGAAGCCTGGGCCCACGGGCAGTGTGGCCCAAGCTGCTGCTGGCCCCCTGGAGCAGCGCTATAGGAGCAGCACTCAACCCCGGCCCCAAAGGCTCCATCCAGGGAGCGGCCGGCCTTTCCAGTCCCGAGCCCCTGCTGACGCTGAGCTCCCTCTGCACGGCTGATCTCCTGTAACCTCTTCAACCCGCCCTGCAAAGCAAGCGTGTCATCCTTCTCACGGATGGGGAAACTGAGGCTCAGCGAGGTTAACAGAATAGCTGAAGATGGGCAGGGCCCAATGTGAACCTGAATGTGTATCATCCCCAAACCCAGGCTCTTTCCACAATCCCCGACCGTTAACATGAACGAAATGAGACTGGAATTCTGAGTGTCCAAGCTGCTGTATCTGGAAGGTTCTCTCCTGCTGAGAAACATAACTCCACTTGGGTCATTTGTCCTGACTGAAAAAACACAGTGTTCTCATCACTTTCATGTCAAGGGCTGCACGTGAACTAGGGACTGAGGTCACCCCAGTAAAACCAGCTGACCGCATGGTGAAGGCTGAGGTACTGGGAATCACAGAGAACGACAGGGACCCGGAGGGAAGGGAGGAACCCTAGGTGGGGGGAGGAAGTCCCTCTTACCTTCTCAGCAGTGATCCTCCCCATCTGGCAAACACACACGCACACACAGATATACACATGCACACACACACACGATGCATGCATACCATGCACACACACACACACATGCACATAGGCACACACCATGCATGCAACATACACACACACACACACACCCCATCACTTCCAGGACCACCTGCCTCCCTGAGACCTGCAGGAAGTAAGCGCAAGGTCAGTCCATATTCCCATTTTTTTGTTTTGTTTTTTTATTTTTTTTTCCTTTTTCTCCCCAAAGCCCCCCGGTACATAGTTGCATATTCTTCGTTGTGGGTCCTTCTAGTTGTGGCATGTGGGATGCTGCCTCAGCGTGGTTTGATGAGCAGTGCCATGTCCGCGCCCAGGATTCAATCCAACGAAACACTGGGCCGCCTGCAGCAGAGCGCGCGAACTTAACCACTCGGCCATAGGGCCAGCCCCAGTCCATATTCCCATTTTTGATAGTCAAACTGCAGAGGCACAGCAGCTCTGCAACCCCAGCAAATACCCGGAAGGGAAACGCAGGACTCAGGCAGGGCAAGGACCCAGTTGAAGTCTCGCCTCTTTGGTATAAGATGTCAAAGTACACAGGAAACTCCAGAATGCCATCATGGATAAATCTAGCACTTTCTGCCTGCCCCTTAGTGGACAGGTAGCCAGCACCCTGTCCTCCTTCTGATTTCACTGAGGCTGACTCTACCTTGGGTGGGGCAGGGGGGACGTCATGTGACCTAGGCTGACCAATTCAGTCACTGCATTCCCCGCTCAGTGATTGGTTCAAGAATGGGCATGTGACCTGGGACAAGCCACTGAGAGTCTTCCCTGGGACCATTGTGGGAGCTCATTGGCAAATTAGCTTATAGCACCCTCTTCTCTGGGATCACTGAGCTCATAGGATGAAATTCTGGAACTGCTGGTAGCTGTCTTACTACCAAAGGCGGGGAAAGCCTGGCTGAGAGCAACATCAAAAGACAGCAAAGCAGATAGGAAAGGCAGAGGGCAGGAGGACCAGGGAGACTATGTTGGGATAAAATCCTTTGAATGCCTGGATCCAGCTATCCCTGAAGCTGGTAAACTTTGTTAAGGTATAAGAGCTAATCAATGACCTTTGCTGCTTAAGACAATTTGAGTTGCTGTCACTTGTAACCACCACCACCAACTTGGGTCTTACGCATCCTCATCTTATCAAGCTCCCTCTCACGTTGATTCTTTCATTTTCCTCTGCTTATATACAGACTCTCCTGCTATCCTATAGTCTTGGAGCAGAGACTTCAGACCTCCGTGAAACCCCCGCTAAGCCCAGCATGGCTCTGGCCACCTGGCAGAGACCAGGGACTGTCAGTGACTGGTGAAAGACAGGGCTGGTGTCCTCCTTCGGCGGAGCAATAAAGAAAAACCAAGAAAAACTTGGGTCTGATGTTCTTCTAATTCAAAATGAATCAGGCCCAGAGCCACGACCGTGGTGCCCAGTTTTGAGTTAGGGCTGTCGTTGCGTGCTGCTTTCTACCCCCAAGTGACTTCAACTGGGTCTCGGGCTCCAGAGTAACAGCCAGCTCAGCCCCAGGGTAACAGAGAGGGGCAGAAATAGCAAGTTAAGTCATATCCTGGCTGCCGCGAAGCTCATAAGCACAGATAACACTGCAGGGGAACACGCACCAGCTATCAGACGGCTGGAGGATCCCAGATTCATGTGGGATTTTGCCAGAACCATCAGAACTAAGGGGTCCTGGGGCTAGTGGCTCACTGGTGCCCCAGTGGAACAGTGTCCCTTTGGACCCACTTCATTCCAGCTGGATTTTCTCATTGGGTTCACAGCCAACAGTGCGTGTGGGCCAGTGGGCTTCAACCTAAACACACTCAATTCTCCTTTTTTATCCTAAAATGAAATTCATTTATAGCCCACTTACATACCATTATTTTTTTTAAAAGCAATTTAACGCTCAAACTGAAATACAAAGGAGAAATGAGAAGAAAGTCGTTTTCTTAATTTGTGTATTTCAATTTGCAACTGCTCAGGCGTGACCGCGCCGGGAGGCGGAATGAAGTCGTCAGAGTTACAAGCTTGCACTTCAGAGAAGTGAGAGGATCAGAAGTCATTTCAAAGGAGACGTGGAGGAAAGGCGAGGAACAGAGTGAACGCTAAGGAACAAATGAGCACCGCAGGACGGACTAGCGGGTGCGACTTTGTAGACCTGAGCTCTAGATGAACGTCAGGGCCACCAGCAGTCGTGTGAGCCGTGGAGGCCGCTCCATTGTCGGACGCGCCCAAGCATTGCTGGACATCAGCTTTCCTGGCCTCCAGCCACCAAATGCCAATAGTGTTGATTCCAATCATTGCAACAACCAAAAACTGCGCCCTCCATTTACACAAAGCCCCTTGGGGCCAGAACTATCCCCTTTGACATGGAAGGCCAGAGGCGTTGGCCTCCCAGACTTGAGCACGACAGAGCTTCAGGAGGAAGTGCAGGTGGGAAGTCTTGGGGAACCCTCTCTCTTTTCTCTGTCACCAGCAGGCTCTGTCCCCAGGGACCAGAGTGCACCCCACCAAAGGATGCACATCGTCCTGCCCTCAGGCTCCCCCACATGCAGAGCCCTTGGCATTGGCTGGGAGCAGCGGGAGCAGGAGGTGAAATCTGAGCCTGGAAGCTTTGCTGGGCTCAGGCGTCTCAGGGCCTCCCAGGTCACTTCCCTCTGCTTCTCAGTCGGGTCCCCCTTGTCTTCCATGCAGTCCCGAGGGCGCCAGACACCACTCTGAACCCCACTGCTCCTGTCAACTAGGCCCAGCAGTGTGCAGCTCAGCCAAACTCGGGGAAACAGCAACACCCGAAGAGAATACGGGGAACCCTGGGGTTGGAGTAGCAGCAGGTGAGGCTGCAAGTGCTCATTTGCATATCATTTGTCAAGGATGCCCTGGGGGATGGCCTCAGACTCCCCGAGTCCCCCCAGCCAGGCCTATTACGTCCACACCCTCTCACCCCATGGGGGACAAGGGCTGCAGGCCAGCAGGAGCTTGGGGATCAGGAGGGTACAGACTGGCCCTCTCGGGGTGTGCCAATCCCCTTATCGGTGGCGACAGGTGTCATAAGACAACAAAGGCCTCTGGTTACCCACAGCCAGGTTCACAGAGGACTGCCTGGCCCTGCACCAGCCCTCTGAAGCCACCTGGGCATTCAGTCTGCAAGGTGTCCCCTCCACCCGCCCAGGCTGGCTGCACCAGGTGGGAGCTCCGGCACATGACTGGGTGCATAGGACACCCAGGTCACATCCCACTCTGTGGGCAGGTTCTAAGGCCAGCACGTGATGTGAGGACGTGCACGTGTCCAAAATCACTCTCTGAAATGTACCCCTGCAAAGGCGCCACGTCAGAGATCGGCACAGACCCTCAGTCGACCCAACACAGCACGTTTGTTCTCCATTTAGGGAGTATATCTCTGTTTCTTCAATTGGGCTGTGGCTGAGGGGTGCTCACCCTTTGCCACGTTGTGAGGAAGCCCATGCTGCATGGGGAAGCCACGTGTTGGTGTTCCAGCGGATGGCCCCAGGGGGGGGTCCCAGCCAACCACCACCGTCAACCGCCAGATCTCAGGGGGAACCAGCATTCAGATGATCCCAGCCCCTGCCCTTGAGCCACCCCAGCCTTCCAATCTCCCAGGTGAGGCCCCAGACATCCTGGAGCCAAAAGAAGCCATCCCCCCGTGGCTGTGTCTGAAGTCCTGACGCACAGAACGCGGGGGGCCGGGGGGGGGGGTGGCGGAATTTGGTATGCTATGCCTAAGGGCAATATTTGGTGTGCACGAAGGGGCAGCCAATTTGTGTGTATCTTTAAACATTTCCATAATGCTCAGCCTGGCCAAAGACTCCCACCAGAAGAGGCACACCAGTGCCAAGGCCGACCCGGGAAAAGCAAAATCAAACCACACACTCACTGAGACACGAGCTTGGAGACCGGGGCAAACCCCGCCATTTAAATTATTTGTCCTAAAGGAACGTGCGTAGATGAATTCTCGGGTTAAACACATGACGATTCCACCGAGGGGCTCCGGAAAGACTTGTGGCTTGACAGACAATAAGCTGAGTTCTCTGGAAGGACATACCAGGGTTAGTATGTGACTGTCCATTGCAGTCAACAACTAGTGAATTCAGAGACCTTGGTTGTCCTCCTTGGCGAACATGAGTGACAGGCCCGGGAGACAGCTGTGCCATGTCAGATGATGGTGCAGCCACAGCAGTACCGCTCGGGGTAGTCCACCACATATACCTTGTGGTCGGTGCCATAGACATAGTAGACAGAAGTCTTTCCTTGATACCAGTAATGAACTTCTGTGAGGGGGATCAGCTCAATGGTCTGGCGCTGAGGAAACAATTGGCCAAGAAAAACTTCAGCCTTCTGTTCAAGTCACTCACCTGCTCAAGAACCTTCAGTAGCTCCCTACTACCCAAGGGATGAAGTTCATGCTCTGGAGTTGGCATTTTGGCTCTCATCTCCCTCTCTAGATGTATCTCCTACTATGCTTCTTCACATACCCTAAGCTCTGGCCCAAATCGACTTCTCATCTTTAGCCACCATCTGATTCTGGGTTTCACAAAGGAGGGAAACAGGTATCCCCAGGGGCATTCTAGGATGTATGAAAAGCCACCAGCCAAACAGGATACCTTCCAGAAGCATTAATTTTTAGATAGGGGGAAAGAATGGCAGTGAAAGGTGGAGGATAAAGTCATTTTAAACATTTCTAATATTAAAACAACCATGGAGATATTAGGAAGTAGATTTACAGTTTGAATGAAATTTGGCACCACCAAACATTGACACCAAAGAAATCTCAAAGTAAGTGGGTCGGTTCAGGCTATTTCCTCAGACTCCTCCCTCCCCCCACCCTGGTTGTGCATCGACACTCCTTTGAGAAAAGCCTTTCTCAAATATTCCCCTCCTTTTCCAAAAGGGGAAACTGAGGCCTGTGGGCTCATGGAATTTCAGGTTTGGACAATCACCCAGGTCCAGTCCCATCTGTTTAATGCTCACATCTCCTCCCCAGCATCCACCTCCAGCTAAGAGCCCAGGGTACTCACCACGCACCCCCCCCCCCCCAAATGGTCCTAAAGTCTCTTTCTCTGGCCCCTTCTCTGAGCAGTTACTCAACAACCTTCCAAAATCTCAGGGCCCTATGCAGAACAGAGCAGCCCTGCCTTGGGAGAGAACACTGGCCTCCTGTTGAGACACCCATCTCCGTCAGCTGGTGGTACTGTTTTGTTAGGGACCACTAGGTACCTGGCTGACATAGGAAAGTTACTCCTGGTCATTGAAGCGAAGCTTTCTTGGGGACTAACTGTGGGCCAGGCTCTATGTCTAAACCCCTACGTTCTTCTGCACCTGTTGCTCCCCTGTCCTAGACTCAGATTTAGGGATCCCAAACCAGAGGGAGGTGGCACGGCTGGCCCAGAGTCAGACCCTCCTACTTGCAGGAAGTTCCCCTCCTTGGGGAAGAGCCCCAAGTCCTCTCGCTGTAGGGCATGGTCCAGAGGCCCCAGGGCAAAGCAGGAAACAGGCCGGGGAGGGGATTTCGAGAAGCAGGCTCCTTACTCTACTGGAGCGGCAGTGGAGGGGCAGCGTGACATTGTGGCAGGAAGGGGACCCCGAGTCAGGGCATGCATTTTCCATGAAGCTTCCTGTGTGGTCCTGCACTTCCTTTCTCTGGGCCTCGGTTTCCTCATCCGTAAGGTGGGGATAAAAACTTCTACATCACAGAGTCATTGACAACCAAATGAGATCGTGACACTGAGTTTTCTCCGTATGCCAGAAATTGGTCTCCAAGTGATAATTTTGGAAATAAAAGATAGAAGACCCTTCTTGACATTTTGGTACAGAGGACCCAAAATGGGAACTAAGAGGCAAGAGGAGATGGGAGCCAACATCACTGCTCAGAAAGCCTGGACAGTGAGGTCAGGACCACTCGTTTCCAGACTTTTCTACTAACATCAAATGGTGCTGGTCCGGTGGCACAGCGGTTAAGTGCGCACGTTCTACTTCAGCGGCCCGCGGTTCGCCGGTTCAGATCCCGGGTGCGGACATGGCACTGCTTATCAAGCCATGCTGTGGCAGGTGTCCCACATATAAAGTGGAGGAAGAAGGGCACGGATGTTAGCTCAGGGCCAGTCTTCCTCAGCAAAAGGAGGAGGATTGGCCGCAGATGTTAGCTCAGGACCAATCTTTCTCAAAAAAAAAAAATGGCCAGCACAATAATACCATCCCCACCCCGACCTGCCCCCATCTGTTTCCGATTCGAAAGGTCTCTAACTTTGAGACCACAGATGGGTCAGGACATCAAACGCCATCAAGCAATTATCTTATGATGGGCCGTTTGTCTGTCTGTGCACGGTGGTCACGCCCCTGGGATGAGAGACTCCAGGTCTGAGAGTAACAGTGAGGCCCAGTGTCACGCCAGCTGCCTCGTCCTATTGGAGTCCACTCGCGAACTTCTCCATCCTGAACAAAATATCAGCCTGAATCTTTGTCTACACATCCAGGACCAAAAGACAATTTAGGAAAAAGATTCACAGACGTGGCCTGTTCTCGCATTACGTTCCCTTTTAAGGAAGAACGTGCGTCTGCCCTGGTTGCCCCTTCCTTGCTCCAGGACTGGCTCGCAAATGGCTTGTGTTGCCCGAGACAGGGCCGCACTTAGGGGAAAAGCCCCAGGAGCCCCAGGGTCTAAACCGAGGCCTGCGCCTCCAGCCTAGATCTCAGGCAGGCACTTCCCAGCTGCCAAACGACGGGTCCAAAAAGGATGCAAATTGTCAGCTCTGGAAGCAAAACAGGTCCAGGGCGACCACTAGTGTCCAAGCTGCTAAAATCATGTCCTTCCCTCTTCCCAGTCCTGGATACCTCAATATCTGGGCTCTTCGCTGTCACCCACACCATAGGACACTAGTGCAGTGTGAGCAAGCACCCTTGGAGACCGTTCTGGAGTCTTCGTGGACATCGTTCTCGTGCCCCCAGGTTCCCTCGAATCTGCTTCTGCACATCCACCCTCACCACTTCTACGCGCTCTGCTGCTCACAGCTCAACTTGCTTCTTCAGAGAAGAGATCCTTGTGCGGAGCTCTCTACCCACACGGCGAGCAGAAAGCCCCTGGGAGGATGTGCCATGGCTGGAAGGTGCCAGAGAACAAAATCCCAGCTCCCTCGCCTCCAGGCGACAGCGGCTGAGGGATGCTCACCCTCAGAGCTCCCGTGGGGTGGGCAGAGGCTGGCCTCCCCCTCTTCCAGCCCCGACACCCCCACCCCTTTCCTGGCTTCTCCTGGGAGCCCTTCCTTAATAAATGACGTGCACACAAACCCTCCTCTCAGAGCTGCTTCTGCAGAGCCCACCCAGGGCCAGAGCCAACCTCTCTTCTTTCACAGATGAGGACATTGAGGCCCAGGGAAGGGAAGAGCGGGCTTCAAAGCCACAAGTGGGTGCCGCCGCTGAGAAGCAGGCCCTAGGCTGGTAACTGACTTGTCCCTGCAGAATCTGGCCCAAGGAAAAGGCCCTAAATGCCCCCCATGGCTGTTACCCCTGCAAACCCTCGCTGGCTTTCAAAGAGGCGCTTGCGTGTCTTGAATGTGGTGAATTATACATTTAGCTTGGAGACGGGAAATTTGGGTTCTCCCCCGCGCTCTTCCACTAAGAAGCTGTGTGACCTTGGTAAATGACTTGCATTCTCTGAGCCTCCTCTGATTTATTGGAAAAGTCTTGGGTTTGGACTAGACCAGGGGTAGCTGAAGATGGCCCAGAGGCCAAAGCCAGCCGTCCGCCCATACAGTGTCTTTAGCATTTTTAGAATTTCGTTCTCGATATCGAAATATCAGAAGGTTTCATATACAAATCCGGACTTCAGAAGGTCTGGAATCTCTGCCCCTGTCCTACACAAAGCTGAGTGGTGGTCCCCTTTGGATAAGGGGGCTCTGCCACCTGGCTCTGCCCGGCCTGTGAGTTCGCAGTGCCCCAATTCCATGACTTCAGAGGTCCATTCCAGCTCCAAGATGGGCATTACTAATTTTAAATCAAATGCATCCTGCTCTCTCCCACAAATAGGGGGGATGTGCAGAGAGAGAAGGGGAAATACTCATTGCTAAGGGAGCAGAAGGAGAAGGGACATTTTGAGCACCAGGTCCCAGCACTTACAGCGAATTACCTCATCCCTATGGAACCCTCCGGGGCGGGGCTAGAGGCTCTTGCTCACAGTTGAGAATCCTGACTTCAAGGAGAAGGAGGTAACCGGCCCAGGACCACCGTGGGACAGGGGAGAACCGAGGACCTGAGCCAGCCTGTAAAACTCAGGCCCCGCTGACAGACCCCCTCACGGAGCTCGGGCGCTGGGCGTTCCCTGGCAGAACCCCCATCCTCCTTCCAGGTGCCCCAGCTGCTGCCAAGGCCACCACTCAGAGCAGCTTCTGGGGACGTGACAGGCACCACCGCCACCTGGTGGCCATCAGGATGCAGCACCAGGCCATCCCTGGCCGTGGATGCTGGGAGAAGACTGGCCTGGGATTCGGGAAGTGCCCTGGGGGCAGGACCCTGCCTATGACCCTGGATCTCCAGCTTTCCCTCCCCTCTCTGAAGCCAGGGGGTTAGAAGCAAAATCACACGGAGCCACATTGCTTCCTGTTGCTCTCGGGATAAAAACCCAAAGCTCTCACATGTCCAGCGGACCCGCCTGCCCCCGAGGCCCCAAATGCTCTGCTCTGTGCCCTCGGCCACTCTGGCCTCAGGTCTGTCCCTAGTGCTCCCCGGGTTCCTAAACTGAGTCTCCTCCCCTCCATCCACCCCTGGTTGACAGCTTCCTCATCTGTCCTCCCTGCCATTCTCAGAAAGGAGCCTCCCGGCAAAGGGAACACCCCCTTTCCTCCTTTATGTGACGAGAGAGACAGTGTCCTAGGAGCCCCAGCTGGCCCGGGAGCCTGCCCTCCCGATGGCCCCAGGCCCCCACTCCACTCACCTGCTGCAGGACACGGGCCCGGGAGCCCAGGGCTGCGCTGTGCTCGGCAATGCCCCGCTGGGAGGCCAGCGAGATCTCCCGCAGGGGGAAGTCCACAATGGGGTACACCTGCAGGGAGAGACGCGGACGCCCTTGCTGCCCTGGCCCAGATTCCCTGATTCCCACAGAGAACAAGCCTAGAGAGGGAGGGGCCCCAAGGCCTGCAGCGAGCTGGTGGGACTTAAACCTCTGGGTCTCCTTGCTCACCCACATTCCAGCCTCGGGAATTCCAACAAAAAAGGGGGGCTATAGACTCTAGGGAGAGTACTCCTTCACCTGCAGCCACTCGGCCCCCAGCAAGGCTTTGCTGCCGCCTAACTGGGGCTTGGGGTGGGGCCAGGCCTCCTAGCGGCTGATGCCTGAGGTGAGCCTTTAGGAAGCCGGAGTGGTTAGAAAGGAGGCTGAGGAATAGCATTCAGCCATAAAGAAGGAAGGCCTGCCATTTGCGACAACATGGACGGACCCTGAGGACCTTATGCTAAGTGAAATAAGTCAGACAGAGAAAGACAAACGCCATATGATGTGACTTATATGTGAGATTTAAAAAATAAAGTGAGCTCATAGATACAGAGAATAAATTGGTGGTTGCCAGGGGAAAGGGGAGTGGGTGGAGGGGGTCAAAAGGTACAAACTTCCGGCTATAACTAAGTCCCCGGATGTAATGTATGGCATGGTGACTCTAGTTAGTAATACTGTATTGTGTATTTGAAAGCTGCTAAAAGAATAGATCATGAAAGTTCTCATCACAAGAAAAAAAACTGTAACTATGTACAGCGATGGATGTTGACTAGACTTATTGCGATCGTTTCACAGTACACACAAATATCGAATCATTACGTTGTACACCTGAAACTAATAATGTTACATCAATTATATCTCAATTTTTAAACATTCATATCACAAAATGAAAGAAGCCCATCCGAGAAGGCTACATACTGTAAAAAAATAAAAGGAGGCTGAGCGCCCGGCCCTCTTAGAGAAAACGGCACAAGGAGCCTGCTCAGATGTCCGGTGAAGGCCAGATCCCCGCAAGGCCTACAGCAGGGAACGGCACATCTTTTCTGTAAAGGGATAGAGTGTGGGCCATAGGGTCTCGGTCTCAACTACTCGACTCTGCCCTTGCAGCAGGAAAGCAGCCCTGGACAATATGTAAGCAAACACGCATGGCTGTGTTCCAATAAAACTTTATTTATAAAAGCAGGCCAAGGGCCGGAGCTTGCTGACCCTTGGCCTACGAGACCCTCCTGATCTGGCTGCTGGCACCTCTCGTGTCTTAGCTCCTCTCTCCGCCCGGCTTATACCCCTCCAGCCCCCCTGCCCTCTGCTGTTCCTCACGGCCTCTGTTGTGCTGCTCCCTCCGCTGGACACCGTTGCTCTGAAGGCCACGTGGTCCACACCCCCACTGCACTGGGTTCAGTTCTTTGCCAGGGTCATTCCCCGCTCCCAGCTGAAACATCCCCCCACCCCTCCTGTCTCTTTACCCTGCCTGTGTATTTCTCACCGACCCTATCACCATCTGACACTGTGGTGAAAATGTTATTATCTTCTTCTCCCTCACCAGACTGTGAGATCTCTGAGGGCAGGGATTTTGTTCTGTGGTATCCCTGGGGTCTGGAATAGGGCCTGGTATAGGAGGAGGGTCTCCAGGTTTGTGGGGGAGGGGGGGGAGGAGGAAGGAGTGAGGGGAGAGGGAGGGAGGAAAGGTTGAGGATGTGGAATTCGAGAGAGACCTGGCCCTATGGGGTCCCAGCAGCCTCTGTTCCACAGGGGCAGCTCTGTTCCCATCCAGCCTGTCTTTCCAAATGAATGCACCCCACAGAAAGCCACAAGACCCAGCCTCACAGGAGGGGAGGAGGAGCCAGCCTCCTCTGTGGGAGTCTGCTGAGCCCCCCTTACCATCGTGTTCTCATCCTTAAAGAGGTTTTCCCCTTTGGCTTTGGCAAGGAGCTCCGCGGGGCAGTCCAGCTGGTGCTCAGTCACAAACTCAAACAGGCTGTTCTTCCTGGAAGTGAGAGGACGAGGGATGGAAGACGCGGCACGTCAGGCTAAGAACGTTGGTCGGAATCAGGCAGACCTGGGCTGGAGGGCGTGCATGACTACTGGTGGGACCTCGGGAAAGTTCTTTAGCCTCTGCGCCTCAGCATCCTCATCTGTAAAATGGGAAACTAGTAAAGGACTCCAGTTCCCTTCTGTTACCTCACTTCATCCTCACCTGTGCAGTGCTTAGCAAGGAGAAACGGTTTCTGCACGGGAGCCTTCCCGGCCCTGGGAATTTAGGACGCAGGGACTCTGTTCCCCGACGGGAACGCCCGCGTGCTGAGTGGCTGCTGCCCTACAAGGTGGTGATGTCAGGATCTGAACTCGGGTCTGTCTGCTCTCAAGACCACCAGCATCCCGCGCCCACGCTGTCTCTTCCCAGGACCTCTCCCCTCTCCAGTCGCTTTAAACCCTTTTCTCCCAGCAGGTCCCTGCCCTGTGGAAACCCCAACCCAGTGGAGTTTCTCTGCAGAAACCAGTCCAGCCCACGTCCCGCGGCACCCCCGGCAGGCCACGGCGCTGGGACGCGGCCACGTACCACATGATGACCAGCTGGATGAAGTGCAGCAGTTTCTTCTCCCCCTTGCAGGTGGCACAGGTCTTGCTCCCCCGCCCCGAGCACGTGCTGCACCTGACAGGGCATACCGTCAGGACCACTCAGAGAGTCCTGGGGTCCTGGTGGCTTCCAGAGCCCCCGTCCTCGACCCCTGCCAAATCCTTCCTCATGGAGGTGGACTGTGCTGGGCCTGGATGGCTTCCACCTGCCCCACCTCCTCGGGTGCCCCGGTTCCCTGTGGAGATCTCCTCCTCCCACCCAGCCCACGTGGCTCACAGGCTTGCCCCCACCCCTGCTATGACCAGCTTAGGACCTCGGCCTGGCCAATCAGCTTATTCCATCTCCCTGGCCACAGTGACTGATAGAAGGATGGGCCATGACCCATGTGAGTGCAATGAGATCCACCCCAGGACTTTTGTTGGAACTATCAGGAAAGGGACATCCTTTTCTCCTGAAGTTACTAAGCTTGGAGCTGCGGGTGGTCCTCTCTGCCACCACAGAGACAGCCTGCCTGAGAATGACGCCAACACAAAGGAAAGCAGAGTGAGGGATGGAGACAGATTCCTGGTGATATGGTTTAAGCACTTGGATCCAGCTGTACCTGAAGCCACCCCAGAAATATACTCTTGAATTTTTCCTTTATACAGGCCTATAAATTTAGTTTTTTGCCAAAGCTGATTTGAATTGGATTTCTTTCACTTGTAAATGAAAGAAATCTGAGTTTTTTTCCAAATCAAAGACCTCCTTTAGACAAGTCCACCAAAGCTTCACCTCCTGGCTTGTTAGAGGCCTGGGCCTCAACGAGCCAAACATTCTCATTAACCAACATGACTTTGAATAGTTCCATTCTTCACAATTTCCTATTTCCCTTTAAAGATTTGTAAACACATTAAAGAACATGATTTACAAAACATAATAGCCCACTGTTTGCAAAGCCCTGTGGCCAGAGATTGACCTTTGTTGATCATTTAGTCAATCAACCAACCTCTGCCTCCTCCTCCATTCAGGCCCTGCAATGATTATAGGTAAGAGTTTGCCCAGGCCCCTATCCTCAGAGAGCTCAGACTCTCACCTCCAGGTCGTTTTCTGTATTCCCTTTCCCACCACATGAGCAGGAAGAAGTTTGCTCTCCTTGCCCCACTTCCTCCCTGCAGGCCTCCTTGCTTACACCCCACCCACAGACTGCCTGATGATTTCTAGTCTTGTTTTGAATATCAGGCCTCGAGGAAAGCTTACCCACTGCACAAACATTTATAGAGCATCTACTATGCACGGAGCTCTGGGGACGCAGGAGTGACAAGACAGATAGGTGCCCACTCGCCTTCCAGAAGGGCAGACAGTGAAAAGCAAGAAAGGCAGCCCACGCAAGCGCTTCCCCCGGGTGCGGGCAGACCTGCTCCTACCTGCGCCTGCCGGAGCCTGAGCACAGCTGGCACCTCCGGGGCTGCCTGGCCCTGCGCTTGGCACCGCTGCAGGAGGGGCACCTTGCCTGTGGACACAACACACCTCCTGAGGAAGCGGGCAGAGGGCAGCCAGAGACCTGGTTCCGGCCCCGGCCTACTGACCTTGGCAAGCCACTTCCCCTCCCTGGGCCTCGGCCCCTTCATCTGCAAAATGGCAGCTTGGGTGGAAGGTATCTTTGGACCTCTCCAGTTGTGGCTTCCAAGGATTCTACATCCTAACAGCCCTGTTTCTCCTGAGACGTCAGCCTCTCCTGCTCCTCTCTGATTCCCACGACCCCCAGGACCGTCCCCTGACCAAACAGTCACGGCCAGAGGGAGAGGGACCTGGTACTGGAGACGGGGAGCTGTGGCTTAGGAAGGCCCCCAGGGGTGACCCCGGCTACACTCCCCCAGTTGGCTCAGCGTGGGCTCTGGAGACCTTCCAGAGAAAGCCTGCAGGAGGAGGGAGAGGAGGACGAGGGGCAGGGGGTGGAGGAAGGAACAGAAAAGGCCACAGGGAGGGGCCCTGGGAGAGCCATGAGGAGGCGCATGGCAGGAGTGAGGACACAGGAGGAGAGAGAAGCCAGGCGGCCGCAGTGGGGCCCCCGATGGTGTGTGAGTGGGTGGAGGAATGAGCTCACGCAGGTGGAAAGCCGGCAGAGAAAAGGATGGAGGGGGGTGCAGCTTCCCGTGGCCGGTGGTCAGCACGTGTCCAAAGGACTAGGCACAAACGGGGAGGGCTCAGAACACGTGCGGAGCTTGGTCCTCCTCCTGGGATGGTGAGTGGCCCTGCAGGTCTCTGAAAAGAAGGCTGATGCCATGAGAGCCTGGCAGCGTGCTTCGGGGCCTGCACTGGGGTGAACAGTGTGCCCCCCGCACACAAATTTACGTCCACCAGAACCTCAGGATGTGCCCTCATTTGGAAACAGTCCCTGCAGATGTAATTAGTTAGGATGAGGTCATACCGGAGTGGGGTGGGCCCCTAACTCCAGTGATTGGGGTCCGTATAAGAAGGCCATGAGGGGACGCAGACACGCATGGGGAAGGCCTCGGGACAACGGAGGCAGCGGTTGGAGTGATAACAGCTACAGCCGAGGATCGCCGGCAGCCGGCAGAAGCTAGGAAGGTGGCTTCTCCCTCTGAGCCTCCAGAAGGAGCCAACCCTGCTGACACCTTAATTTTGGACTTCGGCCTCCAGAACAGTAAGAGGATAAGTTTCTGTTGTTTTCAGCCACTCGGTTTGTGGTAGCGTGTCACAGGAGCCCTGGGAAAGGAATGCAAGGCCCCCGTCTACCGGGTCCCTGGAAGCCTCTGCGTTTCCCCTTCTCGGCACGCATCGCCCCGTACTCCCCGTGCTGGTTGCTTGTGGTCTCCCCGCGGACAGAGGGGCCCTGGTGGGAGGGACCTCTTAGTCCTCTTGCCGGGGCTGGCTCTGAGCAGTACTCAGTGAGTGTTTGTAGATGGATGAGAAAAGGAGAGAAGACTCAAAATCCCAAACCATCAAAGTGAAAATGCCAGTAGGGAGCGCCCAATCCAACCTGCCCATTTTGCAGGTGGGAACGTGGAGGCCCGGAAGGGGAGGATGACTTGTCTGAGGTCACACTGCCAATGGGGGAGCCCCAGGCCCCCAGCCCAGCCCTCCGTCCCCGTGTGGAGCCCTCCTCCTCCCACGCTATCGTTTATTCACCAGCGGCCACACAGCACTCACCAAGCCGGCCCCATGGCAGCCGCTGCACTTGTAGCACCCACGCCCATGGCATTTGTGGCATTGCTGGAAGTGAAACGCTCTCCTCGGATCGAGTTTCCCAAGCACCAGCAGCTCCTGGTCTCACCACCCTGCCGCCCCCCATCCCCGTGATGTCACCATCCCAAACATGTAGAGAGCGGCCATTCAGGGCCAGGGTAGGAAGGTGGCCATTTCCCACTTGACTAGGATTCCAAAAGGCCTTGAATGCCAAGCCAAGGAGATCATGTTACCATTTCCTCGGTGCCCCAGCCCAGCCTGTCCTGGATGCTAAGAAGAGGAGACGTGTTCTCCGAGTCCCACGTCCCCACTCACGCTCCCAGGCTAACCACAAGGGCAGGTGTCCTTTGCCCATTAAGTAGCTACCACGGTCTTGGGGATCAAAAGCTATAAAAAATGGGCGGCATTTTTGTGAAAGGTAACGAGCTAGATACTGAATTTTAATCATTGAATCAAAATAGCTTTCCACCCTCGGGAAAAGAGGGGAACGGCTTCTTGACCCCTCAAATTCTCCTTCCTCTTATAACGCTGTGAAGACTCGGAGGGTGAAGTTACAAGCGCGAGTCAAGTTAAAGCAGAGGCGGGCCCGGTGGCGCAGCAGTTAAGTGCACACGTTCCGCTTCAGCAGCCCGGGGTTTGCCGGTTGGGATCCCAGGTGTGGACATGGCACCACTTGGCAAGCCATGCTGTGGCAGGCATCCCACATATAAAGTAGAGGAAGATGGGCAGGATGTTAGCTCAGGGCCAGTCTTCCTCAGCAAAAAGAGGAGGGTTGGCAGATGTTAGCTCAGGGCTAGTCTTCCTCAGACAAAGAAAAAAAGTCTAAAGTGGAGACAAGGTCGGGAGCTGGATAAGAACATAACGTGAGCTGCCTCGGCTGTTTCGGTGACACGTGAGGTGACCCTCACTTCGCGTCATGATTACATTTCTGTAAAACAGGACAGAAGGCAAATTCTGCTCCCTGCTGACTTCCATGAGAAGTCCAGCACCACTTTGACTTTATTTTATACGGTCTCATTCAGCGCTCTAGCTGTTTACTGTCAGGCCAAAAATCCCGCTCCTCCGGGCTGGGGCCGAGAACGCTGGCTCTGGAGAGCCGGTGCCGCTCTGCCCATGGGTCGCCTGTCTGCTGTGTGGATGCTCCCACGTTTGCGTGGGATTTTGTGGGAATGGGACTACATTCCGTGCCCTGAGCTTCGTTAGAAGTGGGCGTCTTGCTAGCTGGGGAATGAACCTCCAGCCTGGACTCGGGGTTCCCTTTTTAAAAGGACAAGGTTGAGGAGACGTAGGGGGCTGGAGGACCAGCTCAGGGGGAAGGGCAAAGATTCCAGTAATCGTTACCTTGACCAGCGACGAGTGAGGGACCTGGAACTTCCTGGTGTCTTCCTGAAACATCGGGGGGACCTGGACCTTGATGTCCCAAAGCCGGGGGGAGGTGCCTCTATGTGGCCCATCTACTGAGTGACCTGACACAGAGAGGGATCGTTGTAAGGCCAGGGAACGGCCACAAGGACAAGCCTTCATTTATTCACCGAATCGCAGGGTGCTTCCCTTGGTGCCAGGCATTCAGGAGATCCTGGGGCGACAAGGATGGGTAGATAAGGGTGTCCTTGGAGTCTGTGGCCAAGCACTCAAGCACTGGAGTTGGAAAGACCTGAGTCTGATTCCTGCTTCTTCTACTTCCTAGCTGTGTAACTCCAGACAAGTTACTTCACCTCTCTGATCTTCAATCCCTCATCTCTAAAATAGGGATAGTGGTGGCACCTACCATAGAGGATGGTGGTGAAAATTAACTAGAAGAAGGCTTATAAATGCTCAGTGCAGGACTGGCACATGCTGCAGCGTCAAAAACAAGAACTATCATCGCTATCATCCCCATCATCTTATTTCTCTTCCTCCTCCTCCGTTCAAGGAGACAGACACAGCCACAACCACGATGGTAAGTGCTCAGACAAGAGTTGAATAAAAGGCTCTGAAAACTCAAAAGACTGACTCATTCTGCTGGGGAGGGGAGTGGCAGGAGAAGAAATCCTGGAAGGCTTCATAAAAGAGGTGACATGTGAGCTGAGTCTTAAGGGTGGGCCCAGAGCTTCCCGCACAGAGAAATTCAACCCTCCAGTGGGCTTCAGCAGAAGGCGAGATGGCACAGTGAATGGGGTTCCTGGGGGTCTAGAGTCCTAGGGAGGCACTGGGGGTGGCCTGGGAGGCCTGCACACACATGTAGCCTTTGCAGTCTAGCCCCGTGGGCAGCACCAGCCTGTGGCCCAAGGACCGTCTGCAAACCGCTTCGTGGGCAGCAAGCATCTGGGCAGACCAGCACTGAAAGGTCTCTGAGATGAAGCGCCACCCTCTCACCTTAGAGCAGAAGGGGACACCGAGGCTCCCAGCAGAAGAGCATCTTATTCACGGATACTGGCTGACACAAGTCTTGACATTTGCCCAGCCCCGGCCATACTCGTGCCCAATTAAACTGACTCCAGACAACTCACTTACTCGTAAAGGGTTGGAACGTCCATTCGCTTATCCTGGACTCGCTGAAGGTCTCCAGCCGGTACTGCAGAGAACAGAAGAGCTTGTTCACACGCACACCCTCTACGAAGACAGGGCACCACTGAGCAGACGGAGCTCCCCACCTGCCGGGCGCGGCGGGAGATGAGAGGCCCCACGCACAGCGCCCATGGGCGGCTCAGAACAGGCTGGCGACAGCGCTCTCTGTGCCCAATGCCCCGGGACGTCTGCAGGGAGGCCAGTCGGCCCCAGGAAGTCTCCCCTGACAAGCTGACAACCGGGGCGATTTCAGCTTCTCATCTCTTTATACACAGAGATGTTCTATGCGCCAAGTTTTGGAGCAGCAGTTGCCCTTTGCTGGATGGAGGCTGCTGGAATCCACTGCTCGGAGCGTCCCCTTTAGAGGAATTTATCTGCCTGATGTCGAGGTCCTCCTTGATCCTCATCCACAGAATCACAAAATGGGAAGGGAGCCTGGCTCCTCCTTTTACACGTGAGGAAGAGGAGGCTCAGAGAGGTCAGTTAACTTGCCCAAGGTCACACAGCTACACAGGGGCCTCTTCCCCGAGATGCCTGCTCTAGCCACTCCATGTGAGCCTGGTCTGATTTCTGTGTGCGTGTGTGCTCAGCAGAGGGTGGCTGCGCCAGTGACACTAGAAAATGTGAACTCAGAGCTGTCAGTTGGCCCTGTCAATGCAGAAGGTGACACAGGTGCCAGCTGTGGTCTGGGTACCAGACATGGGATTTCCCCAGAGCTTCAGGCCCAGGGGTGATGAATAAATGATTCCTTGGCAAGGACGTGACTTGGGGGAGGCAGAGGGAGCTGGACTCGAGGGGAGTAAAGGACCCTCCTCAGCCCACCCCTCCTGGAAGCGGTTCAAGGACACTGGCTTTGACACTAGCAAACCCAAGTGTGAGTCCCAGCTCCGTCACTTCTCGCTGTGTGTTTTGAGACAAGTAACTTCACCTCTCTGAGCTCAAATTCCTCCTTTAACTGGCGATGATGAGACCACTGTGTGGGGTAGTTAGGAGGGTTTGATAAGACAGCTGTGACGCGCTTTCCATGACGCCTGGCGCAGTGGAGCCTTTCAATGACAACCACTGATAATTACTCCTTATGTTACTACCCACAGCTCCAGACCAGAGAAGTGGCAGAAGGGACTTCCATGTCACCACCGTCCACACACACTGCTCCCATTTCACATCACACAAGCCACCCCCAGGGCCTCCAAGCACAACCCTCCAAGTCTTGGTGGGCCACCCCTCACCCGGCAGAGGGTCTGCGGCTTCAGCTCCTGGATGATGAGGTCGCCGGCGGCCGCGCTGCCGTAGCAGCATTTGGAGTTGACGAAGCTGAGAAGGGCTTCACGCGCCACCTCCTCCGTCACCACGGGGACTCTGCTGGGGACAGGGCAGAGAGGCAGGGGCTCTGGGAAGGGCCTACCTCACCGTGCAGAGGGAAACTGAGGCCCCTGGCGGTGACGCACAGTAGCGGTACAGCCCTCAGCCCGGGAGGGCATCTCTGGCCACGGGAACCATGGGAACAGACGCCAAGGGTGGGAACGGACAGGTCCCTCTAAAGGACTGCAATGCCCCTTTAGCTGAAGTGTGAGGCTCTCGAGAAAGGCAGAGGGAGCCTTGGAACTCAAAGAAACCCTTAAAGATGAACTATGCCATTTTACGGGAGAGGAAAACCGGGGTCCAGAGAGACTGTCACACGGCTGGAAGGAAGCAGGGTCAGGCTAGACGAGGTTCCTGCCTGGGGGGACCTTGACCTCGGAAAGGAGCCCATGGCAGTGTTCAGGGAAGCCCCCAGCCAAGGACTGTCTTCCGCGGCGCCTGGACACTCGCGGTGAGCCTGCTGGGCAGCACAGCAGCACGCGGGGAGGCGGACAGCCAGTGGCCCCTTCCTCGGCCTTCTCTCTGGAGGCCCCCCTCCTCCTGGGAGACTGTCCCTGAGCCCAGCTGCCTGCCTGTCCCCTCCCCAACCCCCACTCCCCAGGAAGCAGGAGTCCTGCCCCCCTCCTCCCCCTCGGGTCTTCCCAGTTCTCTCTGGGGCAGCCCCGGCTCCAGACAGTACCCCCTGTCGTGCCACTTGTGTCCCCAGCACTACCCCCCCCTCGGTGTCCGGAGGGGCCTGAGTGTTGTGGGAGCTGCTGGGCCAGGATGGCGGAGACGACTCCACGGAGGAAGTGGGGTCTGCACTGCGCGTGGAAGGCGGGTGTCCCGGGAGGAGACGGGGAGGTGGTCCAGGCAGCAGGGAGACCAGGAGCACCCAGGATGCCCCTGAAGGTGGGACAGGCCACCCGGCTGCGAGGCCGGACCCACCTTCTCTCTGCACAAGGCTGCTGGAAGCCGGAGCTCTGCCCCGAGGTCCCTCAAAGCAGGGCGGGTGTGGGCCTCTCCAGGGAGCTAGACCAGGGAGCCACTGACCTCCACGGTAAGGGGCTAGATAGTCAATATTTTGGGTTTTGAGGGCCAGAGAGCGTCTGTCTCAACCCCTCAGCTCTGCTGTCATAGCGCAAAAGCAGCCACAGACAGCAAGGAACAGGTGAGCATGGTTGAGTTCCTGTAAAACTAGATTTACAAGAACAGACGGTGAGCTGGATTTGGCCCAGGGGCAGGGTCGGCAACCCTGATCTCCACAATGGTTTTCAACCCAGGCTTGGGAGCCAAACAGCCTGAAGAGCTTGGTGAGGTGCAGACCCCCGGGCTCCACCCCTGGAGAACCTGACCCAGCAGGCCTGGGAGCCTGACACCCTGTCAGGGTGGAGGTCCCTGGGGAGGGCTCTTGGGGGCAGTGGTGACGTGAGGACCCACAAGCGTGACCCCGTGTGACGGCTCTGTGAGGGTCACCGGCAGCTCACCTGTGCTCCAGGAACGAGGACCAGCACCTTGGTTCCTGGGGTCTCCCCGGGGCCTCTGAAGGTGGGAAGAATATCTGCTGTCCTGGAGGAGAGGGGAGGAGGCAGCGGCTCGACAGCCCAGCTCAGAGGAGCAGGCATTTGGGGGTGAAAGGAGGAAAAATTGGCTGAACGCGAGAAAGGACAGATGAAGAAGAATGATGGTTCTGAGGCCAGCATCATTCTGGTCTTAAATGGACATGGATATGGTCATAGGATGTTCATGGACGCAGGGCCTATGCACCATGTCTTCTCGTTGCCGCCCAGTGGTGACAAGGGGCTTCCAGGGTCCCCAGGGGAAAGAAGAGCCATCCCAATGCTGGCCTGTTCCAGAGACATCCCCCCAGCAGCACAGTCCCAGGAAGAGGCCACAGGAGCCAAGACCCACGGACTCACCGCCCCCTTGAAGAAGCCAGTCACAGCTGGGCAGCCTCTCCAGGAGTTCAGCTGGGGGCGCCAGAGGACTCTCGGCCTGGAAGCTGAGGTCCACCACACCTGCAGGAGGACAGGCAGCCCTGAGCCTCGGGGAGAGGGGGAGGGGGTGTCAACGGCCACTTCACAGGAAGCTGACAAGTGAGGAGAGTGCATTGTAAAAAGCCTCACAGTTTAACTCAGCCCGTCTCACTCCGGCAGCCACCCTCCGGCCACAGAACGGGCAGGGATGGGGGGCGGGGGTGGTAGCCACAGCAGTCATAATAATGTTGAGAAAAACACCAAGAATGGCAGCTCCTGTTTGCTGGGCACCTACCCTGTGCCAGTCACCAGGATGGGTGCTTTATAGACACTATCGTGTCCCACGACCCTCGGAGATAAGTGCTGAATCACAGGTGCTCACACGGTGATGCTCCTCTCATCACGAGATGGCGCTGGACCTCCTCCCCTTGAACCTGAGCAGGCTCGGGACTGCCTCACCCAGGGAGTACACGGGAGCAATGAGGAGGTGCCGCTCCCGCTTCTTGCCTCTTGGCGCTCTCCCTCTTGAGCCCTGAGCAGCCATGGAAGAAATCAGCCTATCCTATGGGAATGACCACGTGGAGATGCCCCAAGGCTGCATGCAGAGGGGCCCGGCGGAGTCCAGCCTTCCAGCCACCCTGCCAGGCCAGCGGGCATACGAGCGAAGCCATCTTAGACCCTCCAGGCCAGACCAGCTGCCTGGTGAACACCACTGAGTGACCCTGCCATGAACTGCATGTCTGTGTCCCCCCCAAAATTCATCTGTTGACACCCTAACCCCAGTGGAAGGCATGAGGAGGCCGGCCCTTTGGGAGGTGATTAGGTCTAGGTGAGGTCAATGAAGGTTGAGCTGCTGGGATGGGATGAGTGTCCTTGTAAGAAGAGAATGATTCCAGAGCTCGCTCGCTCACTCTGCCCTGTGAGCGCACAGGAGAGGGCGCTGTCCACCAGCCAGCGCAGGCTCTCACGGGATGGGACGCGGATCCGCAGGTGCCTTGATCTAGGACTTGCAGCCTCCAGAACAGTGAGAAACAACTGCACGTCATTTAAGCCAGCAGTCTATGGTATTTTTGTTATGACAGCCCCAAACGACTCAGACAGACCCTAATCCATTCCACATGGAGCAGACTCGCCCAGCCGAGCCCTGCCCAGGTTCCTGGCCCACCAGTCACGGCGTGGAGTCAGATGGTGGTTGTTTTAAGGGACTGGGATGGGCGTAGTTTGTCATGCGGCTTCCTCTCATGGGCAGACTTTGCTGTGGGACTCCCCACAGAGCTGGCCAAGGCTCCCTCAGAGCCACACCAGGGTCTGCGGCTCCTTCTGCTCACCCTCCCTCCTTCCCTTCTCCTCTCGCAGGGGTCCCACCTGCACTGGGTCTGAAGACGGTCCCAGCCCCCTCTCCCCTTTCCCTTCACAGGCATCTCCAAGGGACCTCTGGCACACCGAACACCACTGTGGTGTCTGCTTCTTGGATGACCCGAACTGACACCCTGATATTACCCCTTCTACCAAGGAGGAGACTGAGGCTCAGAAAGGTAGTAACTCGCCCAAGGCCACACAGCCAGTGAGTGATGGAGCTGGATTCAGACCAGGGTTCGTCTGTCTCCAAAGCTCATATTCTCTCCAAGTGCCTTCCAGGAGGCGAACCCTACGGAAGAATCAGTCACTGTATATGTGTTTTTAAAACCTCATCTTGATGTGTCGGGATGGGACATAGATACATGGCTCTGAGACTCCAAGGAGGAAAGCATAATATAAGAACTGGCTCCAGAAACTCCGGAAAATTCAGGAAGCACCTCCCCGCACCTGCGCCTCACCCCATCCTCCCACCTGGAGGCATGGAAGGCAGGCCTTCTGATCCCCTTTGACATGAGGAACCTGAGGCTCAGAAAGGTGACTCCAGTATCCTTAGGTTGCACAGCAGTGGAGTTAGAGCAGGATAGAGGCTCATTGTTCCAGTTCCAGCCCACTGGACCACCCCTCAAACCTGTTCCCAGAAGCCCTCATGCTGGGGGACAAGAATCCCTCAGCTCTGGCTTTCTGGTAGCCAATGTGGTCATGGGAAGTTGTCTTTAAAGGGTGAGCTGATAAATGGTCCGTGGAAGGTGATTCTGTAGTAAGCTACTGAAGCAGACGCAGGCCAGGCTTCCAGCAGACCCACCTTTCCCCTAGATCCCTTTTTTTTTTTTGCTCCTCTTTAAAACCTATAGCTCTCTACCTCCACAAAAATAAAAATGATTTTATTTTTTTAAATGATGTCCTATCCTTTCTAGTTTAATAAAAACAGAGGCAGAAGAATAAACACATCTCGTTCTAAACTGAAGCAGCCTAGGTTATCTGGAAATGGAGAGGTCAGGGGGTGAGAAGTCTGAAATCCTGAAATATGTGGCCAAAAACAGGGGAAGGAGAAGAGGGCACCATTAAGACAAACGACAGCCGCACTCTCCACTCTCTCCAAACTAGGAACGTCCTTGTCCTCTGACTATAGGAAATCCACGTGCATCTCTGAAGGTCTTGCTCCTTGCAGGAAACTTACAAGGGAAGCTGAAATAGAAGAACGCGTGTAGAAGTAGAGAGTGCCTCTCCTAGCCAGAAAACTTACCTGTGGAAGCAAAGGATTCTGTGGAGACACAGGTGAGAGACCTGGGATGGACGTGGGTGTGAGACAGAGTGGCAGCATCCCCAGGCTTCAGCCGATGCCTGCCAGTGGGTACCGAATCGCCCACACGATCATTCGTCTGGAATTACGACTTCTACCTTGGTTCTCAATACTGTTTTGCTTCTAATGAGTTTATCAGCATTCTAAGCTATTTTAGTCACTAGGGACCCAGGGATCGGAAAACATTTTCTATAAATAGCCAGGTAGCAAATGTCGTAGACTTTCTGGGCCATATGGTTTGTCTCAATTACTCAGTTTCGCCATTGTGGCCTGAAAGCAGCCACAGCCAAGACACAATTGAATAAACGTGGCTTTGTTCCAATAAAACTTTCCAAAAACAGACAGGGGGTCAGATGTGGCCCATGAGCTGTATTTTGTCCATCCTGACCCAGACACTCATCTATGTGGATGGGTTTGAGGGGGGTCAGAAAGGCGGAAGCTGGAATTTGAACCTTTCTGGGGCCCGGGCCCGTGCACATCCATTGCACTTCCTGTGAGCCCAGTTACTGGAATTAAAGATGAACGTCAGGGTTGGATGGTAGCCAGGGGCAACTGGAGCCAGAATCCCTGGGGCACAGTGGTTAGGAAGCTGGCTTCTGACACCTGGAGTCTGAGCCCTGTAATATATGACACTGTGCCAGTAACGCATCCTGGCAGAACTCAACCCCCCAGCTGTGACAGAGAGCGAATGATATTAGTGCCCACCTAACTAGACAATGTGCGCAACACAGTTCTTGGTCCTGAGCCTGACATCTAACAAACGCCCGGTCAACGTCTGGGACCTCAGGAGGCAGGGCCTTCCTCTTTTTTTGTGCTCCTTTAAGCCAGGAGACAAGAGCGAAAATGTCAACCATGGAAAGAAAGGCAAGACCATCACAGCCTCTCCCCTGGGATGCCCCCCCCCGACCCGGAAGTCTTGGGTCTGCTGGGGCATCAATAGTCTCCTTGAGGAGAAGACAGGGAAACGCCATATGGCAGCTATGCCCTGCTGGGAACCAAACAAAGGGGCAGGAAGAGGGGAAGAATGAGAGGTGGGAAAGTCGAGGTCCATCCATCAACTAGGAGGCACCCTGCCCTCCTGGGGCCGTCGCAATTCGTCAGAGCCAAATTAGTCTCCCCATTATGTTCTGTGCAAAAATAAAGGACTCCAGGCTGAACTACGGGCAGGTGCGTCATTTCCTGTACAGATCTCATCAGGCACAACAGGAATGCACACGTCACAGGCATTGTGTGACGCCCGGCGTGGGGCACTCCGAAGAGGGCCACCAGCTGTGTCACTGTTTCCACGGTGACGGGGCTGCATTCCAGGGCAGTTGTCCAGCTGGGCCACCCCACCCTGACACGGGCATTGTGTCCTGGGCTCACAAAGGGATGGCGCAAGCATGATCTCTTCTCACTTCATGACAACCACCATTTTCCCCACTTTGTAGAAAGACAAGACCAAGCTCAGAGATGTGATTTGGGGCAATGAACCCACACATTCATAGCAGAGACAGAAACAGGGCTTAGAACTCAGATCCTGACTCCAAGCCCAATGAGCTTTCTGCTTAGCCGAACATCCTATTGCTCCATGCAAATGGCATCACGTGGTTGCCGAGAAAGCTTTGCAAAGTGTCACCAAGGTAGCGTTTCTGCTCACTAGCCACTAGCTATTTTTCTTTTGTATAGAAAGGAATGTTGCTTATAGAGAAAGGCATAATTAATGGATAATCCCTTTAACTTTCTCTTTTTAAAATGTCATTTCCTTTATTTCAGAGGATAAAAGGAGTCCACGTCTTCTGCCCCTAGTTCTATCATCTTAAAAGCACTGAAATCATGTTACTTCTCTGCTCAAATGGCCCCCCACCACCATCTCACTTTAGTTTGTTTAACATCGTGTCTCCTTCAACAGGTGTGAGAGCCCCTATTGGACAGGGAAGCCCCCCGACCATGTCCTGCATGCAGTTGGTGCTCTTAAACGCCTTGTGATTTCAATTAAACTTACGATGGTGAAAGAGATTCAAGGGGTCAAATTCATACAGATAGAGCACAGAATGGCAGTTGCCAGGAGCAGAGAGGAGAGGGGAATGTGGAGCTGTTGGTTAATGGGTACAGAGTTTCAGTTGTGCAAGATGAAAAGGTTCTAGAGACGGATGATGGGGATGGTTGCACAACAATGGGAATGCACTTACTGCCATGGAACAATACACTTAAAAATGGCTAAGATGGCAAATTTTATGTTATTTAAAATAATAAAAATAGAAAGAAAGAGAAGGAGATTCAAGTGATCATCAGAGAAAGAAAAGAAAGAAGTCTGGTTTTGCCAAGAAGAACAAACAAACAAATAATTGGCTACACTATTTCAAGGCCTTCACGAGCAAGACCTGAAAGGCTGACCAGGTCTCCCCCAGGCTTAAACACCACAGTGGCTCACTACTGCCCACAGCAAACATCCAAGCTTGGGAACTTGGTAAGTAAGGCCCTAAATTACCTGTGGGACAGCGAGAAAAGATTCTCATCTGCCCACATGACAGGGCAAACGCCTTCCTATGTTGTGCAGAGCAGGGTGAGAGAAGGGAAGACAGCTAATGTAGGAGGGGAGGTGGTGTGGATGGAGAGCAGAGCAGAAAGGGGGAGGAGAGAGAGAGACGGCTGCTGGAAGCTTGAGAGAGAAGGGTGGGAGCTTTGCGGTGGGACCCATGGAGAAAATATTTCGGGGAGCAAATATAATGCCCACCTGGTGAGTGAGAGGAACATCGAGAGAAACCAGGGGAAGGATACCTGGGAGAAGGTTTCCTGGGACTTGTGCAGGCCCCTCTGCTATGCCAAGAGAGAACCCAGCAAACATTACCATTAATTTTCACTTAGTTGGGATGTGGAACCCACGCTTTGTAGAAAGTGCTGTCATGCCAAGACAGGGCGACATGGGAGCTGAAAGTGATTGAAGCCACATGACATGTGGGACCATTGAAGAAACAAGACCTGGTCAAGCTAGAGAAGAAAAGAGTCTGAAGGGTCCTTATGTTAAACAGGGAACAGACACTTCTCAGTAGCCTTGAGGGGCAGAATCAAGATCAAAGAGTCAGAGCTCCAGGGAAAGAGGCATCAACTCAATGTAAGAAAGAACTGTTAACAGTCTCAGCTGTAGAGGGGACAGCCAACCCCTGGGGGTGCTCCAGGTGATGGTGGGAGATGCTGCCTCTATGAGGATGCTGTCAGAGGCTTCCTAGCGTCCGATGACGGTGGTACTAAAAGGCCTTCTAGGTGCCTTCCATGTGGATGCCACATCCCAGAATGTCCCACCCATGCCCACTTTGGTTCCAAAGTGTAGGAAGAGGGAAGGAAGCTATTCTCTCTCTGAAGTTGCCCACATTTTAGACTCAAACACTGGGGACAATACTTGTGTGACTGGGAAGGGTAATTCAACTGGATAAGTGGACAGTCATCTGTCACCTAAGAAGGGACATTTAAATCACAGAAGTCCCAGAGCAGGCTCCCTTCCTGAAACCCGGAGAAAAATTTACCTAGTTTCTTATTTCACCAACTTAGCTTATAAAACCTTTTCTGGATGATCCCATACCTGCGGTAGATCCTAAGAGCTGACCTGAGGACCGATTTTATGGGAAGACAGCACATGACAGAATCAAGGTTTTTAGAATTTTAAGGGAAGTAAAGAGTTTGCCTTACTCTCACCTTGCTTACCAAAAGGCATGGTGCCGAAACAGGAACATCACAGGTGGTAATATTTTCCCTTAAGAGCAGTTTAATTTTAAAGCTCTGAGGACATAATCTGATAATTTTCTAGAGTCCACAATTATTCCACACCTACTCTGGGCTGGTGGTGTATTAGGCACTTCACACCCAATTAATCCTTTACCACTTCCGCAGGATGGCACCATCTCTGTTTTTACCGGGGGAAATGGAGTTCAGAGAGGTGAAGTGAATTGAGCAAAGTCGCCCAGCAATTAGGAAACAGAGCTTGGATCTGAATCCAGATTTGACCTAGCATAGCCCATGGCTGCTAAGAGAAACTCCAATTATAAATTGAAAGGCTACTGAGCAGTGTTTTGAAGAGGAGAGACTGCGTTAGAATGTAAGTGGAAGCTTGTTAGAATCAGTCTATGGTTACACAATTTCCAATCCATCAGAGATGATGTATGAGATTATGAGATTATATTATGAGATATGAGATTAGCTCCTGCTCAAATGTATGCTAACATATCTCCATACAGTCTCCCACCTCAATATGAAAACGGATCCCAACAAAATCTAAAATGAGTTCCCTCTAAGATTAGCATGGGTTCATTTTACACCCAACGTCAGCTCTGAAACTCAAAGCTTTCAGACAGCAACATTAGAGACAATGAAGAGTGTTGGGCCTGTGAATGACCTTCGAGGTCACCAACTTCAGTAACTATGAAAATGTACTAGTGTCACAGGGCTCTCAGGGATTCAGATGAAAGCTGTGGACCCCCCCAAAAAACCATATGCACGACATTATCCGTCACCTTCATGGCACTCAAATTAAGAACTCCTGACCCAATCTCCTTTTATAGAGGGGGAAATTGAGACTCAGAGAAGTTAAGTGACTTGCCCAAGATCACACAGCCAATTCATAGCAGAGCCAGGACCTGAACCCCAACCTCCCAGTTCCCGATCTGATATTCCACCACATCGCCCCTTCCAAATTCAGGATCAAAGAAAAATTTTTTGAAAACAGCACATTTCTCCCTAAAATACTATTTCCTTCTTCATCTCTTTAAATAGTCCTTAGAGTCCATTGTATTTCTGTCCCAGTAATGCCAGGATGGGGTCACCCCGTCTGTTCACAAGCAGTAATGAACGGAGGGAGACCCTGAGTAAAGACTTTTCATGACATTTCTTTAAGATTATCCTCATCAAAGAACTGAACCCAGCTGTGACTGAAATAGGAATCCTGATATTCAGGCTCACACTGGGCTGGGGGGACCCATCAACTAGAGAAAAGAAGGATAAAGAATCTATGGATGGTGTTACCATGGTTGGAGAGGAAAGTTCTCCTCTTGGTTTTTTACCATCCTTCTCCATTGCTCAGAGACACAGAATGAAGACCAGCCTGCAGGCTGCAAATGGGCTTTACTTGTGGAAGGAAGGAAGGGAGGCATGCCCTCAGCAACACAGCCCCAAGGGCAGAGGGACTGCGGCTCAGGGCTGGCTGCAGAGGTGGGTGCTCCACACCCTCCCTGCTGTACTTACTGTCCTCATCACTCAGATCCGGATCCATGGTCCAGACGTCCAGCCAAGGAGGTGTCTGCCCTTCCAGTGGGCTCAGGCCGCTGGGCTCTGAGGGACCAGCCTCGGCCCCTCCCAGAACAGCAGGCCCATTGTTTTCGGATTTGAATGCAACAGAGGGAAACATCCATGGGAAGCACGGTGTCCATCAGAGCGGCTGATCCACAGGGGTTCTTGGGGCTCCTTCTACTTGCCTGTGCCCTCACACAACCCTTTGAAATGGGCACTTTTATGATGTCCATTTTTCTGAGCTGGGACTCAAAACCTCGTCTGTCTGACTCTCAGGTCAGAGCTCTTGATCACTTGCTGTATTGCTCATTTGTAGGAGGCAGGCTTCTAAGACCTGTGGGGGCAGGCGGGGAGGGGGGCAGGCGATGCATAAAAACTGTGATAACCACAGGAGATTACCTTCCCAAGGGGGAGAGAAGATAGGGATGGAACCTCTGAAGTCTTGAGTGTCAACCTCCCCATCTCACTGGGAAAGAAACGAGGCCACACAGCTCATCATGGACAGAACCAGCTCCCAACCCAGGCTGCAGAGGCCACTGCTGTCACCACACCAGCCTAGCTCCCTGTGAAACATCTGGGGGTTTTCAAGGTCTCTTCCTAAGCCTTTTGCACTGGGGCTCAAAACTCCTTCAACCTCAACCTTTGGAAGTGCACCCCTCTCCTCTGGATGAGTCTAAACAGTGAACACCTGGACTGGGTCATCTAGTGATGGAAGCAGAGAGTATAGGGGCTGCACCACCTGCTCTGCATCCTTGGCAATGACCCCTGACATCTGGGCCTGGAGTTCTCTGGCCGGGGCAGCCTTGCTCCATAGGGCAAAACATGTACCCTCAGCCCTGGCTTGCCCAGCCCAGCAGTGCCCATGGGGTGTGCCCTGACAGCCCTGGATGAAGACTGGCTATCATACTCACCTGGGAAGCACCATGGTTGGGTCAGCGGCGGCCTGTCTGGGCTGCCACCCCACACACGGCGATGGCTCCAAGGTGCCCGACAAAGTGCCTTCAGTCTCTCTCCCCCTGTCACCTCCATCATTCACTGCCTAACAGAAAGGCGGTACATTCACAAAAGCAGTAGCAATAATTTGACAAACAATATTTGTCACGAAGCTTGGTTTGTAAAAAATCAAGAGGAGAACTTTCCTCCATAACCACAGTAACGCCACCCAAGTCTTTCATTCTTTATCATTCCTTTCTCTAGTTGACAGTCCCCCGTGCCTCCGTAGAGCCAAATGTAAGACAGGTTTCTTAAACACAGTCAGACAACTCAACGCCCACAAATAGGTATTTATGGTTGGTAAGAGCACCGAATGTGTGAAACTTGAGAGTCATCTATGTTTTACTACTGCACATACATGAGAAAGACCAAGATCTTGAGGAATGAATATAGTTTGTTGATCCCTTTATACACTAAGCAATCGTTTTAAGCCTTTGTAGAAGTGTCTCCATGGTAACAGGATTACCGTGTGTGTGCCTCGGTGTGTATGTGTTTCACCCTAAACATAATATGTCTGTGTGTGTCTATGTCTGCATCTCTATGTGTCTGTGTGTGTGTGTACATTTGAGCCAAAATGTGATAGAAGATGATTGATTGATAGATACATAGATACATAGATAGATAGACAGATAGATAGATACATAGATAGATACATACATACATGCATAGAAAGATAGATGACAGACTAGTTGTGGCTTCACTAAAACAATATGCCATTATTTCCCCTCAAGTACTCTTAAGCTACCATATATGCTTACCTAAAACCCTCCTCAGCATTCAAAAGAAACAACCCTAGGAAATTATTTAAACGGCAAACAGAAGGAGCACAATGTTAAATAGAGCTGAGTACTAGAGGAACTGAAAATCCTGAGGCTGCAGAAACGCTGACAACCATGAGTTGTATCTTAGGAACCAGGGAGTGGAGATGAAAGGGAGTCACAGTCCCTTGCGGCACCTACTTAGATCACACAGGAGTGGGTTAATAAATATCTCTTAAAATACGTGGAAGATGGGGCTAGCCCCGTGGGATAGTGGTTAAGTTTGCAGTGCTCCACTTTGGCGGCCTGGGTTTGCAGGTTCAGATCCTGGGCATGGACATACACCACCCGTCAGCCATGCTGTGGTGGTAACCCACATATAAAGTGGAAGAAGATTGGCACAGATGTTAGCTCATGGCTAATCTTCCTCAGCAAAAAAAAAAAAAAAAAATACATGGAAGACGAAAAAACCAACTGTTGGACCTTTCTAATCTTGCTTAGGCATCAAGACAGGAATGCTTCTGCCATGTATGCTTGAGTGACTCAGGGAAAATAATGTACCCATCACCACCTAGTATTCACGGTGTCAGCAGAAACAGGCATCATTAATTCTAGGACCCAGGCCAGTATGAAGCTAATACTGGTTCCCACTTCCCAAAGGGGTTTCGGGTGGGGGAGGAGAGGCACCAACTGTGTGCCAGGCCTCATACATTCATTCTGGTTCACCGCTGTTGATGTCAAGAAGGGGCCTCCTCAGAGCTCTTCTTCCTGAGCGGGTCCTCAGTGGTCCGTGGATGCGACCCCTCATTACGCTCTCCGTGTCCTGCACGTGTGAGTCCCCATGAACCACGTGTTGAATGAACACGGCTGTCCAAGAGCTAACCTTATCCATTCATTGCTGTCTGAGAGCCTTGTTTATTCCTGGAAATAAAGTCCACACAATCTCGTGGGTTGGTCTCTGAGTCTTAGGGGTATGTCATGGCTGAGGGGAACATGTTAGAGGGGCAGGGCTTTAGAAGGGAGTCTAGAAATCACATAGTATGACTGCAGCTGAATATGGTGGTGAGGGAAACGCCTAGAGGGAGGAATCAAGAAATGCCTTCAAATATTCAAAGGGCTGTCACGGGAGGAGGTGGCAGAACAGAATCCCAGGCCACTCATCCTACGCACAGGCAGGCTGCAGCCTGGTCCAGAAGAGGGGACGATTTTCAACTTGCCAAAGAGAAGAGCTGTCCAGCGAGCAGAGCCTCCTTCCATTGGACTGGACTTCTCTGCAGAATATTAAAGCAGAAGCTTGATGCTTAAACAAAATGGGTAGTAGTAGAAACTAACAGTTCATGGCTTCAGAATCCACGTAAACTGGGTTCAAAGCCCCCAGGTGGATGCTGCAGCCCTCCAGTGCCTTTCTGGAACATCCCTGGAGGACAGGTGAGAGGGAATGCTCCTGGTGGGCAGAACTTTGAACAGCGCACCTGCTTGTGCATTTCGCCTAGGAGAAGAAATGTCCCCGGGTAAGAGTCTACAGCAATCATGGGCTGTGCAAAACGCTTTGGCTGGATGGTCAGGAAGTGTGGAAGGAACATCACCGGAAAATTAGCGACAAGGAGGTCTGGGGAAGAGGTCTATTGATAGATTTCTTTGAATGGGCAAAGAACGTGAAGACATTTGTGTCCCACGTCAGCGCTCACCAAAGGGTGACTTCAGCAGAGCAGGATTTCAATAGTCAAGTTGATGGCGTGACCCATTCTGGGGACACCAGTCAAGCTCTCTCCTCAGCCACTCCTGCCATTGCCTAGTGGGTCACAGTGGCAGGGATGGGGGTTATGTATGGGCTCAGCAACATGGCCTTCCCCTCACCGAGACTGTCTGGCTACTGCTGAGGCCCAGTCTGCCAGCAGCAAAGACCACGACCGAGTTTCAGTGTGGTACCATTCTCTGAAGTGATGGGCCAGTGACCCGACGGCAGGCTGATCACATTCACCCACTTCCATCATGGAAGGGGTAGCACTTTGTGCTTCTGAAACAGACACTCTGAAGATAGATTTGTCTTCCCTGCACACAATCCTTCCATCAAAACTACCATCTCTGGACTCTAGCGACAAGGGAGCAAAAGCCACCTCCTCTGAGACAAAAGAAATTATTAGGTTGCCATCCCTCTGCTTGCCAATTTCCCATCACCACACCTCAGTCCCCTGATGGCCATCACCATTTTTTCCTCCCACCAATATGGTGGCCACCCAAGATGGCCACTGTGTCCATCCCAGGCTTCCTAATTAATTCACCTGGGCTGGCCCTGGGCTCTTGTTTCTCAGTCAGCAGGTATCACCGACGGGTCTGTCAACAATACAAATTCCCAGGCTCCACCCCCAGAAATCCTGATTAAGTATGTCTGAGGTGGCACCCTGGATTGCGTCTCTTTTGACAAGACCCCAGGTGACTCCCACTCAGTTAGTTTACACTTTAAAAAACACCAGCTTAAGGAAACCAATCAGCACAATTCGGCATTCTAACGTCTTATTTCTAAGAAGAGTCATTTCAAGATAAAAGCAATAGAAGTTTAATGAGATTACCCCACCATCTGTCTTAGATCTTTTCCTTTTATGGCGCGGACTTTCTTGGGCTCACGATGAAGACACTACAATATTGGGTTATCTGCTGTAGTGAGGTCATTCTCCTATCAGCCCAGGGGTTTTCATTTTCCTCTCTCAAGGGCACAGATCTTACGGGGGTAGCAGTAGTAACCACACTGAGAATTGGGGAAGCATTTGAGAGTCACAGACATTTTCTCGGTTGGTGGCAGCTCCAGCCTGAGTGACCCTAGGACACTCAAACACAGATGCCTTCTCTTCCACATCTCCTCTCCCGTTCTCACCCCAGAGTGCCACCATAACCATCTGATGAGTTGGTGGCATCGAGAATTCGCCCAGAATTTCAAATTATTCAGGATTTAGCCACTGACACTACATGGAGGCAAGCGGAAAGGCTCAATTCCAGCCAAGGGAAGTTATTTTCATGAAGGTGGTGGTGGCCATGTAGCAGTTTGGAAAACATTTTCTTATGAGAAAAATACACAGAACATAAAACGTACCACCTTAACCCTTTTCAAGTCTACAGTTCAGAGGCATTAAGTCCACCCACTTGTGTCGTCTTCACCACCAGCCATCTCCAGAACCTTTTCTTCATCCTCGATTGAAACTCTGAACCCATTAAACACTAACTCCCCATCCTGCCCCCACCCCCAGGCCCTGGCCACCACCGCTCTGCTTTCTGTGTTTATGAATTTGACCGCTCCAGGGATCTCTTATAAGTAGAATCATACAGTGTTTGAGCTTTGGTGACTGGCTTATTTCACTTAGCACAATGTCGTCAAGGTTCATCCATACTGTAACACGTATTAGCATTTCCCTTCTTTTTAAGGCTGAATAATATTCCATTGCATGTATAGACCACATTTCATCTATCTATTCACCCACCGATGGACACTTGGGTTGCCTCCACCTTTTGGCTGTTGTGAGCAGTGCTGCTGTGAATATGGATGTACAAATACCTCTTGAAGACCCTGCTTTCAGTTCTTTGGGTACAGGCCCAGGAGTGGAATTGCCG